TACCTCTATCCACCATTGTTGTTAATATAAAAGTTCTCAAAAAAAAACAAAACAAAAAACTGGTGGTTATTTTTCGTTTCATGTTTTTTGGTTCCACGTCCAGGGCTGGATCTTGAGGCTAGAGCAGGTGGACGGAAAGAAAAGAAAGTTAATAACATTAAAAACTACTAATGTCCTCTCGCTATAAGTTAAAAGATTGATACTATTTTTAACATGAAGAGTTTTTTGGTTTATTATTTCTAAAACACCAAACATTACTAAATGTACGGGTTTGGGGATCATTAAATTAACAAAATTAATGACCATAGCATATTAGGGCCATCGCGAATAAACAATTGGTGAGTGATGGCAAGTTACAAGAGAAAGATACAATAATTATAGCAGTGGAAATGTTCATTAAAGAAATAGACGATTGTCTGATCTCTTAGTTAACCTTCATATCATTGGATTTAGAGCGCAGACAGCAACTAGTAGTAATCCCACCAACAAAGAAAAGGCAAATATTAAACTAGTGATTATTATCTTGGGGTTCATTGTCTACGGAAAGGATATGATATGAATAATAATGCCTGTTCTTTTTTCATATGCCATATGCTTTTCTAATGGCGTTTGACTGTGGGAATATGTATTTTAAAAGAAATAGAATTAAGAGTAAATACCATAAGTAATACCAATAATCTTGAAAGCTGTGAAGAAACTCCGAAGACGATGAGGTTCGACTGCTTGGCGTCCAACCATAGTAGATGTTCTGCTGCACGTATGGCCTGGCATGTAGTATATGTTTTATCCGAAAACCAAAAAAATCACCTTGAACTTGAACACAAAATGGCACAAAGTAGGCACACGTCGAACCAGAGTTAAGACAGCTGGGAAAGGGCCGATGTGGAACCCGCAAAACCGAGAACGCTTCGAACACGTGGTATGCTTTTCTTGGAAAAGCTCCTGGTAGCGTCCTTGCTCCTAGTAGTAAGGCCAGGAGCCCCCAGTAGCTTCTTGTTCCTAGTAGCGATGCCAGGAGCCCCGTTCGTAGCGTCCGATCGCTCCTAGTAGCGATGCCCTTGCTCCGTCGTTCGTAGCGTTTTGACCGTTTTGACGTCGTATGCCGAGCGGCGGAATTGCATCAGGCACCCCAGGCACCCGCACGGTGCGGTAATGGACCTCGGTTCGATTCGGCTCATGTTCCCCCATGTACATACATATATATATATATAAACCTACTAGCAATGGCCTCCAACTAATAGCGACTCATGTGCTCATAGCAGGTGCAGCAGGTGCTGTGTCTCTTTGATCCGTTTCTACAAACAGTTTGTCACAAGAACAGCTGACAGCACAGCAAACTTCAGCTGACAGTTAACAAAGGCTTTGGAAAGTACGTGAGTGTTGCGTCCGAGAATCTGCCTCACAACGTCCTGCCTCCCTTACAGTAAAACAAAAATATCTAAATCAACTGGAGCTAGGCCATTGAACTATCTTCCCAAGAGAGGATGATAATTTTCCCCCATACATACCTACTAGCGATGACCTCCAACCTCATAGCAATGATTATGCCAATATACAGTACAATCATAAACAAGAAGCTACTAGGGGCTCCTGGCCTTGCTACTAGGAGCGATCGGACGCTACTAGGGTCTCCTGGCATCGCTTCTAGGAGCAATGTTCGCTTCTAGTAACAAGTGCATCGCTTCTAGTAACAAGTGCCTTACTAGTAGTAACAAAAAGCTTGTTTCTAATAGCAAACATTGTTACTACTAGTAAGGCACTTGTTACTACTAGCGTGGCACTTGTTCCTAGTAGCTTCTTGTTACTACTAGCGTGCCATCCACCCTCCAAAGGCCGGAGCAAATCCGACGACTCACTGAGGCTCCTTCCATTGGAGAGATCATGGCCCACTCAGACTCCCTTCCATTGGAGAGATCTGATCCTTCTTGTTTGGTGTCTTCTCATATGGAATATGTTTGATAAGTCATCTGGCACAACAGTTCAAGTACTGACGATGGCGTTCCTAAAATGTCTCAGTCTATTGCCCATGAATTCCTTCACTGGCCGCCTCCCCAAACAGGGCCCCTGCCCTCGAGCATCTTTGCTCGCTTCTCGAGCCGCATTCACACAGGGCACCCACATGGAATCCAAGCAGTCTAACAATCTAACAGAAATGAGATGAATGACATTGACATCTAGGAACAAGAAGCTACTAGTAAGAAAGGGCATCGCTACTAGGAGCAAGGACGCCACTGGGGGCTCCTGGCCCTGCTACTAGGAACAAGAAGCTACTAGTAACTAGTAACAAGAACGGAACGAATGACATCGACATCCCAAGTTCTTAAGTCTATGATGGGTGGCAAGTTTGCCTCGTTGTTGTGGGAACCCCACATCGGGACACCAGAAAGATCAGCCAGTCTTGTTCATGCATGCCGATGCAGTCGGCTTGGTCAGTGAAAAACCTTGAATTTACTAGGAACGACGACTAGCACGCTACTAGGAGCAAAGGGCATCGCTACTAGGAGCAAAGAAGCTATTAGTAGCTCCTGGCATCGCTACTAGGAGCGATCGGACGCTACTAGAATTCGTGATAGCGGGGATCTCTCCGGTCCTGCAAGTTTCACAGTCCGCCTCGGTCCTTTTGTATTCTACCCTCGGGCCTCTGTGTAAGGATGCAGCAACAACAACCACAAAGATGTGCTTTGGAAACTGCCCCGAAGCACTTATCAACCGCAATTGGTGGTTTCTAGATTTAGGTTCCCCCACTTGAAGCCACAATAGTTTTATCACGAGAAATTGTAGGCCAAATTTGTGTTCTGATGATTTTCCTTCGAAAACCAGTGGGTACAGTACGTCAGGGTCGTATGCCGGAAGGTTCCCGTTCTATTTTTCCTTCCCTTGCGTGTAGTTTGAGATTTCTGGTGCCCTTTTTGCTGGGAAGTTTGGGTTTGTGGCTAAGATGTGGCTGCATGCTGCCCCAGCTTTGCGACCCAGCATATGTGAAGAACACAAAAAGCACATCCAGCCAACCACCAAAAGAAGGCTGCACATCAAGGGCCCAAAAACCAAACGCCAACACGTGGCAATATGTTTGTCTTTGAGAAGGGGCTTTCAAGCACTATCGCCGTTGCAGGCAAATTGTAAAAAATAACCTGGAACCTATACGCCCGAGACAAAGTCCTGGTGGTCGATGGAAGTGAAGGCGAGAATTACAACATGGACATGGATGTTTTTTGAGAAGTAACAAAGGGCATCGCTACGAACGGGGCTCCTGGCATCGCTACTAGGAGCGATCGGACGCTACTAGTAGCTCCTGGCCTTACTACTAGTAACAAGGTTCGCTACTCGTAACAAGTGCATCGCTACTACTAACAAGGACATTACTAGTAACAAGAAGCTACCTAGTAAGCACACGGATTTGGGCGTAACATTACAAAGTGCAAAGCCCAAAGACACTGACGGCGAATGACATTGCGAGAACACCCTGGAGCACTTCGACCCATCCATACTAGACCATTTTTGGAACACGTGATACGGAATGGCACACAGCACAACCAAGCAAGATCCAAAGTTTCCCGCAACAGCACCTTTCCCCAGTGAAAGTATGCAGCATGCGATGAAGGGTGCAGGGAAAACACAACAGTCTTCCTCCAAGAACCCCACGTAACAAGTGCCTTACTACTAGTAACAAGAAGCTACTAGGGGCTCCTGGCCAAGACGCATGCTTCCTGCACCACAGCGTCATGGAGCCACGCACTTTCCACCGAGGCCTCCCTCAGCCACACGGCACAGCGACATCACAGACGTAACTTTGACAAACCGTACCCCGCAGCCACTTGCAGCCACTGCCCATTTGCTGACTTGCTTTGCTCGCGCTGAAGCCGGGGAACTCTTGCCAATTCAGCAATTCCTTGATTGCGCACCTCAAAATGATGCACTCCGACTTGCCCACTCTTGTCCAACTTGAAGCACACTTTCGAGCCTTTGCTTTGCTTACTGGCTTGCAAACAAGGTCTGTGGCTTTGGGGGTCCTCTTCGAGGTATCAAGCAGAAAGGTCGCTCCACTGAGCCTTCGAAGCGAAACATTGACATTCTTTCGCACTCCCCGAAACATTTAAATGCGTTTAATTTAGAACCCTTTTGTTGAAATGAATTTAATTGTTCAACATTGTTGAGAATTAAATTGAAATATTTTTGTGTTGAACATGTGAAGATTTATTTTACATGTAGATGCTTTGAATGAAGAACCCTTTGCTCAGACGCTCTTGGGACTCTTGGGGAAAAAATGCACCCAGCCCTAGAAATTCTGGATGAAAAGATTTCACGCGGCGTTGCCAGAAATAGTTTTTTTGCTGCGAGTTCTGCTTGGGGGGTATGCTCCAAATGCCACAAGTCCCGAGTCGGGATTCGTTGGACACCTTTCCTCGCGCCCTTTTGACCGTTCCTCGCAGTCTGTAGGAGTAGGGCACTTTCCGAAGATCCACTTCACTGTGGAGGGCGATCCGTTGACCTGGTGATAACGGAATCCTTTCCTTGGACATGAGGGCGACGACGTAAGACCAGTGACTCGCAGCGTTTTGAATGTCAACGACTCGTTGTGGGTCTACCACGACACGAGGCCAAAGAGCAAAGCCTGAAAAGAGCAAAGGCCAAAGGCTTGGGGACTTTTCAATCAGAAAGTCTAAGTCTTCGTTCTCTTGCAAATCACCCACACCAGGTCCACCGAATGAACATAAATCGAAATCTTCCAGCAGCTGAGGTTCTGAAAGAAATAGCAAATCTTTGGTTTCCGAAAAGAGTTTGAAAGGTCTCAAGAATTCTGGACCCTTTGCAGCTAGGAGTTCGTGATTGACATACATCACTGGTGCAATGGCTGTTTGACAACGAGCAGGAATCATGGCTTCTGGCTTCGTAAGCAAGTCTTCCCGCAAGAAGCGACGTCTGGCATCCCGAATGGTTTCCACCACGCCTTCTCCGGTAGCAACGTTCCCCACGAGTTCAGAGACAATGAGATCAACCTTTTCAGGTAAGACCACATCCTGAGAGTTTCCAGAAATCACCGAAATCACCTCTTGAAGTCCAGCGTCTTCCACAAACTTCTGCGCCTCTTGTGCAACACTTGGCGTGCGTTCGATGGCATAGACCTTCCGTGCTCCAGCATTTGCAGCAATTGTAGCCAGCAATGCAAAGGGTCCCGTCCCGATGTCCAACACAGTCGCAGCGCCCATAGAGACGCGTTCTCGGATGGCTGCTGCATAGGCCTCTGTGCGCAACTGGTCATCACGCATTGCTGCATAGTCGTCCAAACTGGTCTTGGCCAAGTCCTGTCCTGCTGTGACCACCACCTCTTCCAGAACTGGCTCAAGCTGAGCAAGCTGTGGCTCTGGCTCGGAAACTGCAGCTTGCGGCGCCGAAAACGATGAAAACACAACTCTTCTTGGGATGGCGGGCCCGGGAGGTAGTACAGCGGCACCCGCCAAGAGCGTGGTAAGACTGAGAAGCCAAGCTCGTGCAAGTCGAGTTCTTCGAGCTCTAGTGCGCTGTCCATCCAGCATCATGAGCATCCATGCATGCACCAGCTGTCTTAGAATTGTCAGTTTCCAGCTTCTTGTGGCATTCTGTAAGACTAGCTATGACAATGCATTCAGAACTCAAGTTCACTTGCCAAATATTCACACTTCAATGCGATTGTCGTCAGTGCAATTTGGACAAATGAGACAAGAGATCTTGAGCGGCAAAAGGCATTCGGTGAACCTGAGCACTTCACATGGCGATTGATCCACCGCCCACGCAAATAGCAAAATCTGAGTCTGCTCTGCCGATGATGTGAAGCTCGTTGAGGCGTTTCAGGCCGAGTACAAGATCCCCCACGGCCAATGTCATTCGGTATGCTCCTAGTAGCGATGCTCTTTGCTCCTAGTAGCGAACATTGTTCTTGTTTGTGCCCATTCTGTTCTGACCCAAAAGTGGGCTCTTCCAGTGTGTGTGACTCATCGCTCTAGATACGTGACCATGATTGCTTTGGAGCAGTGCTTGTGATCAACCGCAAGTGTTAGGATTGTCTTTTCTGTCTTTAGGCCTGCAAGCCTTTCTTGCATATACTGTTACTTATTTCTGGCCTTTCTTTCTTCCCTTTTGTCTTCTCTTCTGTCTCGCCTTTTTCCGTTGTTTCTATTTAGAGCTGAAACTTGAAGCAACAGGTTAGTTTATTATCACCATGTTGATTGATTATCACTGCACCACTCCGAAATTCTTCGGCGCCCTGTAGAAAGAGTCTCTGAACAGTGGAGCGATTGAAATTCTGGAGTTCAGGGTGTATAGGAGGGATGGACCTCCAACCTACTAGCGATGGCCTCCACCCTAATGGACAAGACTTGTAGAGCGCAGGCGGCTCCAGCGGAGTTTTTACTCCACTGAGTTTTCTTTGCAAAAGACGGTCTGTGCAGGAGAGCCGTCCACTAAGACATGCAGCACCAAGCATGGCCTGCACGAAGAGAAACGAGATTCCAATGAGAAGGTGCACTTCATTCAAAGTGCCGATCCAAAAGTCGAGGCCATCTCAGGAACTAGTAACAAGAAGCTACTAGTAACAAGTGCATCGCTTCTAGTAACAAGTGCCTTACTAGTAGTAACAAGAAGCTATTAGAAACAAGTGCATTGTTTTCTTTTTTCTCTTGACTCAGTTAAGCTTCCAGCGGTAAACATCGATCTCTCAGGACCTTAGCTTCTTGCTAGGTTGGAGGCGACTAGTAGTTTCTTGCTACTAGTATCCTAGTAAGGTAAACATCGATCTCTCAAGCCAGAATCTTCAAATGCGATCCTTCTCTTCGGCTCTCCTGTAATCTCCGCTAAGAATGTCTGGGTCGTGGGCCTCCACCACTGGAACTGTATTTTCCACCTTGCTTTTGAGCACATTCTTCGTAGTGAGAGCATGTGAGAGCATTTACGTCGAAAGAAAGCACATACGTCCAAGACAGATCAAGACAGCACATGTCAAAAGTGATCTTGTTGGTAAAAGCCTAGCCGCAGTGCCTCGTTGATGTTTCTTTCGACAAAAACCACTGATGTTAAACAGGGCACCCTGAACATTGAAGTAGTGTCGCTGCCCTCCGGGTAAAACCTTAGAAATCCACTTTCAATTGCTAGAGTCATCAAAGCGATCGACACAGGCAAATTATGCTTTGAAACTGCAAACACAGTGGGCTTTCAGTCATCACTTTGTCCATCGTCTTTGAAGCAAATCGCTCACTTGAATCACCTTTAGCTCTGCAAGGACTGGAACTGGCCAAGTAGCTCCAGGTAAGCAGCTAGACGCGACCATACCTAAGCAACAGGTTCTGTTCAAAAAACAATCCAATATGAAGCAGCGGCTGAGGTCAAGCGCATACTTGCCTTGTTCATCCCACTCCTTAAAACAGAGTCGCATGCCAAATGACGGTCTATCCTACCTTACAGCAACTCCTCAGCTGAGTCAAAAATCGGACTAAACATAGAACATAGGCCCCAACCACATGGCGGTCTTCAGGGAACATCATTTGGAGCTGATCCTTGAATTGCGACAAGCTTTTGCAAACTTGGTGGGTCCAATCCTCAAATTTAGATATTTGATTTGCTGAATAAGGTTGGAGGCCATTCCTATTAGGTTCCTTCTGCTATTAGGTTGGAGGCCATCGCTATTAGTCTGAAACGAGTAGCCTGTCGCTCAAAGGCTCAAAGCTCTTGTTCTGGTCCTCCACTTGTTACTAGTAGCTTCTAGCTACTAGTAGTAATGGCCTCCAACCTACTTATAGGGATGGCCTCCAACCTACTAGCGATGGCCTCCAACCTACTAGCGATGGCCTCCAACCTAGTAGCTTCCAGCTACTAGTAGCGATGCACCTTGCTACTAGTAGCGATGCGCTTGTTGGTCCTCCAAGGCATATCGTTCATCGAATGCAGCGACAAAATCTGATTGATTGACTTCGTCGTAAAGAAGCAGCATCGGCCACTCGACAGTCATGTCCTGAGATCGTGAAACTGTCTCGAGCTAGTGATCTTGCTTTGCCGAGGCCGTGTTCAACATGTGTCATCGCTTTTGCAGCTTTCAACTATATAGTATAAAGTTTATATATAGGCATAAACAAGGGTTTCAGGTCGGGTTTGGGCAGTGTGCAGGAGAAGCATGAAGTCAAGACTCCAGTTGCGCTCTCAATAGGAATTAAATCTATGTTCTGCTTGTAGCCATGAAATTTCCTGTTTGGTGAAGAGGCGCTGAAAAGAGCAAGAAAAAAAGAAAGAAGAATGATCTCAAGGTCTCCTAAATAATTTACTTTCCGCTTGTGAAGAGACGCTGCGCAAAGAAATATCTTCCTCAACAGCCATGCGTCAGGGTCTTCCCCCACCAACATTGGATGCGGGGTAAGGCCACCATTGGCCATGCGATACCTTGCCAAAGCTCTGGTCGAGAGCTCGCTCTAATGCAACGTGTCCAGCTCTTCTGGACTGTCAACAAACCTTCATCGCCTCCATCAAACACGTGTTCCGTGTTCTTCTTCTTTTGAATGCCGCTATTGGTGCGGGCGTTTGCAAGGTGTTATCTTGCCAAGTCCAAGTAAAAAGCAACACTGATCAACAATGCTCTACCTCTGACTAGCCACATGGACATATCGAAGAGGACCGGCCCCAAACGGCAGCCGCGCAGTTGCAAGAAACTCTCAACCTTAGGAACTGCTTTGACTTAGCAACTAAGACTTTTCTTTTGCATGACTTCTCTCCCAAAACGGAGACTTTTCTGAGACCGGGAAGTGGGCTGATGGTGTCAAACCGTGCTTTGTCAAGTTTGAGTTCTAAAAAGAATGCAACACTTTGGCACTGTCCTTATCTTTATGTTTAAAAGGACTTTACTTGGTTGGAGGCCATTGCTAGTAGGTTGGAGGCCATGGCTTCTCGGGTCCTTCCAAGGCGCTGCGGAAGCCTTGGCCTTCCGTTCATCCTTTTCCCGGGCATCGACCTTTCGCATCTCGGCTTGGGCGTCCTTCTGGCTTTCCAACTTTACCTGCAAGATTTGGCGAATCAGATCGTTTTAATTTTGAAGCATCTCACATGTCAAACCTGAGATGCCAAAGGCAAATTGTTTGGTATAATAGAGTTGTAGAGTTAGGGGATGTCTCCAGTGTCTCCGTCAAAAATTCTGTGTTTCGCTGCTCCTGGAGCTGCTTCTGAACCCTGACAACTTCGGGCTCCTGCGACAACGAGCATCAATCTACCGATTGAGAACACTGCGCGGATAATCAAGTTGCTTCTGAATTAATGAACTATGCGGACTAGAGAATGAACGACTGGTACACCCAACAAGTTGTTTCATTATGAGACGTCACATCCCAACACAAATCCATCAATTTAACTTTTGGCTTGTTGGGGGCATTGCCTACTGGGCTTCGGGACACCAGGTTCCACAGTTGACAGTCGATGTTGATCTCCAAGATCGTGTTCACTTCCATAGGGGGGTTGTGAGAATAAAGAAAAGAATAAGCGTCCTTGCTCCTAGTAGCGATGCCAGGAGCCCCTAGTAGCTTCTTGCTCCTAGTAGTAAGGCCAGGAGCCCTAGTAGCGTCCTTGCTCCTAGTAGCGATGCTTCCTTCCATGTGGCAGACTTGCAGAGACAAACACATCATGAATCCAATAAAAGAATCGTGTATTCATGTATTCGAATTGTATTGCCCGGCAAGAAGCCTATTGTTTTCTGTTTTTTTGACGACAGACGCTCCTGGCTACTAGTAGTGATGCCAGGAGCCCCTAGCAGCTTCTTGCTCCTAGTAGTAAGGCCAGGAGCCCCTAGTAGCGTCCTTGCTCCTAGTAGCGATGCCCTTTGTTACTAGTAGCTATTTGCTCCTAGTAGCGGTGCCCTTTGTTACTAGTGGCTACTTGCTCCTAGTAGCGATGCCCTTTGTTACTAGTATATAGCTATTTGCTCCTAGTAGCTATTTGCTTCTAGTAGCGGTGCCCTTTGTTACTAGTGGCTACTTGCTCCTAGTAGCGATGCCCTTTGTTACTAGTATATAGCTATTTGCTCCTAGTAGCTATTTGCTCCTAGTAGCGATGCCCTTTGTTACTAGTAGCTTCTTGCTCCCTGTAGTCAGGCCAGGAGCCCCTAGTAGCGTCCTTGCTCCTAGTAGCGATGCCCTTTGTTACTAGTAGCTTCTTGTTCCTAGTAGTAAGGCCAGGAGCCCCTAGTAGCGTCCTTGCTCCTAGTAGTGATGCCCTTTGTTACTAGTAGCTTCTTGTTCCTAGTAGTAAGGCCAGGAGCCCCTAGTAGCGTCCTTGCTCCTAGTAGCGATGCCCTTTGTTACTAGTAGCTTCTTGTTCCTAGTAGTAAGGCCAGGAGCCCCTAGTAGCGTCCTTGCTCCTAGTAGCGATAGCATGAAGTCGCTCCTTGGGATCGATTTTCAGGGCGCCTTGGCAGAATTTCAGGCCTTGCTCCGCGAGGCCCATGGCCTCCGAGGCTTGAGCACCCCGAAACCACGCCTTCAAATTCGACGGGTCTAGTCGCACCTCAGCTCTGCAAAAAGGCGAAAAACACAAAAACACATGTGCTTTTTGGCCTATGGGGGGGCCCTCTGCTCTCCTAAGACTTACTTAAGTGAGGGAGTTGTTCGTTCCGTTCGCTCCTCGTTAGTAACTGGACGCAGTATAACCTTAGCTCAAGCTTCTTCAAGGAAGCTCCCCGCCTGAAAAAAGGAGAAAGCTTCCTTGGAGAAGCGCTCGCACTAATGATTTGGTTCCTAGATTTTAACACAACAAGCACTCAAGTGAGTGTCTCTTCTGTGTTTCTTCTGTGCTTCAAGTGTTTGTGGCGAGAGGTATCAAATGTCCCAAATCGAACACTGTCTCTGCATCTCAGGCACTGCATGCCTGCAATCATCCACCACCTGTGCAATGAGCTGGGCTGAATCTTCAAAAATAAGCCCAGAATCCAAGCCTTCGAATTATAACGATGGCCTCCAACCTAGTAGCGATAGGTTGGAAGCCTTCAAGTATTCGCCCATCTTGAGCCCCACTGCAGCCCTGTTCGAATGCAGCACAGAGTTCAACTTGGCGTCCTGTGAAGGGCAAATCGTGAAGAAAGGGATGCTTGTCAACACTCTTGTGTACGGACAAAAAGACACGTTGAACAACGGACAACGCTTCCTTGCATTCCATCTCAATACCTCGCGTGTAGAAAGTCAAGGCATTCATCAAAGCAATCCTTGGTACGTTTTAGACTCATGCGGCACATGCGTATCAGAGTTGCAAACCAGACAGAACAGAGTCAACATCCAGTAAGAAAAGAATAGGAGAATAGCGTCCTTGCTCCTAGTAGTAAGGCCAGGAGCCCCTAGTAGCGTCCTTGCTCCTAGCGATGCCCGTCACACTGGGTCACAGTTCACACAGTGTGCACCCGCTGGTTGTTTCCGCTCCCAAGGAGCTTCGATGCCTGGAACTTCATGGCCTCGCGTTCGGCGCTCTCTTACGTCTTACGTTTTCCTACGTCTTACGTCTTGCGCTCTTCTCGGTAAGCGATGGCCTCGAACCTACTAGCGCCTCCGTAGTTTCGTGGTAGTCTGACGCTTGTGGCCTCGTTACCTTGCTTCCGAAAGTTCTCAGCCACCTCTTCAGGTGTCTGGTCATCGTACAAAACGCTCTGCAAAGCAGTCCTCAGGTAGCGGTGACATGGTGATACAAACGGAGAATGACATGGTGACATGGTGATACAGTAGTTGGAAGTCTCAATGAGGAGATTTCTGCGTGCAGATTTAAATAGACCTTGGGATTCACAGAATCGACGATCAGGAACAAAGGCGTCCTCAGAGCCTCCATCCCTTCATTCTCTTGAGTGTCCAGTGTAAAGTGAAAATAGTCATCCACATCTTCATGTTTTCCAAAAAAATGCAACCTGGATTCAGCATCGGATAATTGTCAATATCACGTGGATCCGAAGGAATGTCTTTCATGAAGAGCGGATGCTCTTGGATCTCATTCCAGGTCCAGACTCGGTTGTCGATCCTGGGACGATAAGGCTAGGTGAAAAAGAGAGAACGCCTCAGTTAGGCCAGGTATTTTAAAAACCTATCAGCATTTCGGAACTCAAAATGTTTTAGTTAGGAGGCCGTCGCTATTAGGTTGGAGGCCATAGCTTATAGGTTGTTCATTGTTTTTTTATTTCTTTTTCTTGTTTGTGAAATCGTAAATATATTGGCCAACTGCTCCTGTACCGACCCAACTCATCTTCTCCCCACATGTTCCCATCGTCATCCACGAAGATTTGCTGGTCAGGCTGGCTCTCTGGCTCCATAGCTCCGGCTCAAAACCGCTTCTTCCGGAAGATGACTGTCGTTGAATGCGTGACTTTTTTTTATAGAGAACTGAAAAAGAAAGTTGCTCAACTCCGTCAAATAGTTGACAAGGAGGGAACAGCATGAACTAGTAGAGAGCGGTGTGAGTTTCGGTGCCCCACAGCCGCCCATACAGCTGACTAATTCAGTGGTAAAATCCTTGGAATGTTGCAAGCTTGCAGGTTTATCCATTGAGCTGTAAGGCCCAAAGAGGCTTTTGGCTACGTCAATTCAAACTGCACAAGTGACAATACATCTTTAGATTTGCCTACTTAAATTGCAGCACACTGTTTGATGCGGGTGGCAAACGAAGAGATCTCGACGCAACCAAGATTGTACAACAACATACAGGTTGTTATGGTTGAACCATTTGTAAATCAAGGACGCTACTAGTAGCTCCTGGCCATACTACTAGGAGCAAGGACGCTACTAGGGGCTCCTGGCATCGCTACTAGGAGCAAGGACGCTCAGACTTTTTGAACGTCATTTTGAAATAGAATACCTCCCCTTCAGGGAGTAGCTCGGTAGCCGGCCTCGTTGCGGGGCATGCTTCGTTCTGCAAGATTGCAAAAAGAAAATTACTATGTAGATCTACCACAAATAAAGAGAGATTGAGGCTCTTTCCACTTTTTCACCACCCTTGCAACTCCACCTGATTGAAGCTTCAAATTATAGGACCGGATAACCCCACATGTTAACAACTTCAGCAAACACAAGAGCGGACAATTGGTGGTTGGTGGTTGGTGGTGGTTGGTGGTGGTGGTGGTTGGTTGGTGGTTGGTGGTTGGTGGTTGGTGGTGGTTGGTGGTTGGTGGTTGGTGGTTGGTGGTTGGTTGGTTGGTTGGTTGGTTGGTTGGTTGGTTGGTTGGTTGGTTGGTTGGTTGGTTGGTGGCTGGTGGTTGGTTGGTTGGTGCACGGCGGGAGGGCGGGAGGAGGAGAGGAGAGGAGAGCGGATACAGCACTAAAAAAAATAGAAAACACGTCAATGTAGGGAATATATACTGTCTCGTCTGTTTCCCTGATGAAACAAAATGAGTAAAAAATGTTCCCAAGCAAATGAGTGAAACCTCAGCACAAACCCTTTCGCTACTGGTAGCAAAGGGCCTTACTACTAGGAGCAAGAAGCTACTAGGGGCTCCTGGCCTTACTACTAGGAACAAGGACGCTACTGGGAGCAAGAAGCTACTAGTAGCCAAGGGCCTTACTACTAGGAGCAAGGGCAT